ACAGCCAAACAAATCAAACCTTCCATGTCACCTAAAACAGTGATAAGGACCTTTCCAACTGAAGTTGGCTTACATTTCTTTCTTTGTGGTGTATGCGGATGATGCCACTCCATTGAACTGTTTGGTTCAGGTTCAAAATGATGCGCCTAGGTTCCGTCACCTGTAACGACTTAGCACAAAAGTTCACACCATCTACATAAAAACAGTCTAACAATTTAAAAGAAATTGCTTTCCTTTGCTGTGAGTGGACATTTATGATCTCACCTTCAGCAAATTTTAGAAGAAATTATAAATTTTATAACTGCTTTAAAACTATTATTGCTGATTGACAGAGGTAATGACACTTGTTGAGTAATGAATCGAATGTCAGTAAGAATAATGCCCTCGTCGGATTTCAACTTGTTCTGCGTGGGCGGCTGGAGCACGACGTCCACAGCTCGGTCGATCAAGGAGTTCTGGATCACTATTTCCTGATTCTTTAATTCTCTGAACCTATCGACAGACTACCCCTGTTAACTGCAGAATGTCCATTGCATGACTTCTTTACAGCAATATTTTCTTTGACCATTCGCTGCTTATAACGTGTTGCTAACGCTCTTCAGTTCAACGGTGTTGAGTAGTGTTACGTTGTACTATTTGACAGCTTACGCTGCAATTATTATTTACGTTATAAGCTAATTTGAAGGAAAAAACGTTGTTTGCTTACTCATATGTTTATGAAAGTTAGGTTAGTTGCGTATTCTTTACATGACGTTGCAGAACCAACCCCAACAGCCCCTGGCTGTTGTGTGGCTTTTTAGTCAAATTGTGGTTGTTCGTCTATTTCTAGACTTTGGCCTAGATGCAGGACTTGAGTTTTCAGTTATATCAGTTTTGCAGATCTGGTTTATTTGTTTGAGGATAGTTGGTTTCGAACCCCTTCCCCCACCCCCGGCCCCTCCCCACCTCTCATAAAGATGCACCCCTTTGAGAGAAACAAAATTACTTACTTAGTCGCCTGTTGCCACTTGATTGTTAGGGCGTCATGGGTCTATTCTTTTGTTTCCCAGATTGTGGCACAGGAACCCACACGGGGATGTAAATCTCAAGAAGTTGTTACATTAACTAGTGGTTCCCAGCTGGTGCTCCGCATGCACTTTCCATGGGATCTAATTTCGCACAACAACATAAAAAAAAAATAAACTGAGACAAAAACACGTATACTGGCCGTTGCTGAGACAAAAACATGTATACTGGCCGTCGCTAAGACAAAAACACGTATACTGGCCGTCGCTGAGACAAAAACATGTATACTGGCCGTCGCTGAGACAAAAACACGTATACTGGCCGTCGCTGAGACAAAAACATGTATACTGGCCGTCGCTGAGACAAAAACACGTATACTGGCCGTCGCTGAGACAAAAACACGTATACTAGCCGTCGCTGAGACAACAACACGTATACTGGCCGTCGCTAAGACAAAAACATGTATACTGGCCGTCGCTGAGACAAAAACATGTATACTGGCCGTCGCTGAGATAAAAACATGTATACTGGCCGTCGCTGAGACAAAAACATGGTTACTGGCCGTCGCTAAGACAAAAACACGTATACTGGCCGTCGCTAAGACAAAAACATGTATACTGGCCGTCGCTGAGACAAAAACATGTATACTGGCCGTCGCTGAGACAAAAACACGTATACTGGCCGTCGCTGAGACAAAAACACGTATACTGGCCGTCGCTGAGACAAAAACACGTATACTGGCCGTCGCTGAGACAAAAACACGTATACTGGCCGTCGCTGAGACAAAAACACGTATACTGGCCGTTGCTGAGACAAAAACATGTATACTGGCGTCGCTAAGACAAAAACACGTATACTGGCCGTCGCTGAGACAAAAACATGTATACTGGCCGTCGCTAAGACAAAAACACGTATACTGGCCGTCGCTGAGACAAAAACATGTATACTGGCCGTCGCTGAGACAAAAACACGTATACTGGCCATCGCTGAGACAAAAACACGTATACTAGCCGTCGCTGAGACAACAACACGTATACTGGCCGTCGCTAAGACAAAAACATGTATACTGGCCGTCGCTGAGACAAAAACATGTATACTGGCCGTCGCTGAGACAAAAACATGTATACTGGCCGTCGCTGAGACAAAAATATGTATACTGGCCGTCGCTAAGACAAAAACACGTATACTGGCCGTCGCTAAGACAAAAACACGCATACTGGCCGTCGCTAAGACAAACAATTTACTGTCAAGGTACATTTTATTTTTTAAAATATAGTTTTTACGCCTTCTCCATCAGCTCCATAAGATTAGGTCTAAACGCCATTATCTTAGGTGTGACACACAAGCATATATCTCAGGTGTGACACACAAGCATATATCTTAGGTGTGACACACAAGCATATATCTTAGATGTGACACACAAGCATATATCTCAGGTGTGACACACAAGCATATATCTTAGGTGTGACACACAAGCATATATCTTAGGTGTGACACACAAGCATATATCTTAGGTGTGACACACAAGCATACATCTTAGGTGTGACACACAAGCATATATCTTAGGTGTGACACACAAGCATATATCTTAGGTGTGACACACAAGCATATATCTTAGGTGTGACACACAAGCATATATCTTAGGTGTGACACACAAGCATATATCTTAGGTGTGACACACAAGCATATATCTTAGGTGTGACACACAAGCATATATCTTAGGTGTGACACACAAGCATATATCTTAGGTGTGACACACAAGCATATATCTTAGGTGTGACACACAGGCATATATATGTATATATACACAACATTTTTTTTAAATGAAAGAAAAATAAGGAATTATACTTTTTCAGAAACCCGGCTGTGAGTCTCAGCTGTAAACAAATAGTTCTTTAAAATGAATCTTTCGTTTAACAGCTAAACCGCTGTTCAATTGAGCACTTAAGTGCAAAGAGCTTGTTTTTACAATAGCGATATGATGCACATCAGGTCGTCCTAGACTGCAGCGGGAGTGATATTCCACTGATTGCTCAAGCTGTAGCATTGTCCACTGTTTATAAAATCTTTCACAAGCGAGCACATCTGATCCACATGATGCTGCTTTTGTGAAACACGTCAGAAACGGGTAGAAGTCTAGACTGGGTCGGTGCAGGCAGCAATTAACGGGCTTTAACGCCCCGAGTGAGTTAAAAAGTTAGTTGCGTATCCTTTACAGGACGTTGCAGAACTCTAACAGCCCCTGGCTGTTGTGTGGTTTCTCTAGGCAATTTACATCCAGTAGTTCGCCATTGCTTGGACGGTCGGCTTTCTTGATACCACTGTCGAAACCAACGCAAGGCTCATTGCCCGCAGCTGAGATCGAACCTGGCATCCCGGCATTACGAAGCGAAGCGTTCGCATCGACTTAGCCACAGAGCCGACCCCGATTGAGTACATATTTAATTTCGGGTGTGTGTTTGTGTGTCACGAGAAAGGCTTGAGTTTGAAATAACTGTTCTCGATTGTGTTGTTAAGTGCACAACATAATTAAACTACAGGTGTGGCTCGACACTGAGGGTAAGTATACGGGTCTAAACACAGTAATTACTGGAGGCGCACTTCATCGTCCGTGCTCAGCTTAACTTAACAGTGAACAATTGAAGTCAGCAACATTATGTAGTAAGTACTTTGCCGCTCTCGTCAAGACAATACATAATGCAACCCAGTCCAATGCCACCGTTCACATGTCGTTAACATACTCATCTTCAACAGGCAGCAGCTTTCATCACAGTCTGCTTGCAAGAATTAAGGTCTCTGACAGTTATCCAGCCTAATGAACTGTCCTACCTGAGAGGTCACCTATATCATGTGCCCATCTTCATGCAAGCTGGCCACTGCTTCTCTTTCTTCTAAAAACTGTGTTTTTCTAATCCGTCGAACATACCCAGCGTGTAGTAATTATCATGTGTCAACTGTCAGGTTTCCACCCCTGCCCGGTCTTTCTTTGAATATATCCATTACAGCTGGTTTTACAGCTTGAATAACCTAAATTTATGTTACTGTCACATGGGGATGACAAACGCAGAAAGGAAGTCTTTCATACTGCCCAGTTGTATTTCGATATCATTAGCTTAAAGGCTATTAGCGCAGTTTCACCATTTTACCACAACGGGTCTGATTCAACTGCAGGCGACTGTGTGTGTAACAAGCCATTTGAGTCGGCCTGGAAAGCGATACAGAAGTGGAATTATTTAGAAAGCAATGATACAATAGTTCTTCTTCTTCTTCAGCATTCCCAGCCCTTGAGGTTCATTGCTGCAGATATCACACTGTCTGGACAGTATCTCTCCATCGTCTTCTTGGTCTGCCTCGTCGTCTACTACCATTCATCTTCCTTGTGTATACAATTTATACTTCTATGTCATCTGACATTCTTTCAATATGCCTCAACCATTTCGGTCTACTAGCTCTTATGATGCCAGTGATCAAAGGTGATTTAAACAGAGTATGAATTTCTTTGTTGCTTCTCACTCTCCAGTCCTCGCTGTGTGCATCAGCAATAGTAGAAATTAAAATTCACTTGTAAAATTTAAAAATATAAACAAATAATCGGGTTTGTCTGGAACCTTCTGAAAATAATATGCAGCTATACTTTCATTTCAACGTCGCCCGTGTGTGTTGGTTCAACACAATAGTTACCACACAGAACAACGTATAATTCCAAGCAGATGTAGCATAACTGCCCATTAGGATAAACTGACTCGTTCCAGCAATGGTGAATGTGATAAAATATCACTAAAAGGCCAGTGTGCGTTTACTAAAAAGCAATTACTGAGATCTCCGATGAGCAGCTATCAACAGAAAAACGTTAACGTGATAATTGTTTAGATTGTCTAGGTCAAAACAGCAAGGCAGACACTGAAATCAGTCACAATTATGACCATAAAAAATATGACATTTCTCAGTCACTGAGTTCGTCCATTATGAATCCCGTTTTTTTTAAACTCATGTGCTCAACATCGTCTGCAAAGCAAGGTAAATGTTGTTCTGATAAATGCTTTGCTTCTCTGGCAAGCACGACGGGTACACTCGCGTAAGCTGCGTCTGAAGCTCTCAGAGAACAAACTGTAGAGAAGTGGGTTAAGGGCTGAGTTAAGGTACATGCAGATAAAAGCCATTGGCGGAAAAAACGTGGATCCAAATGACGTGACTTGATAGACGTTCCAGTAAAACATGAGCAAGCGAACATGATGGGGAAGCACACAGACGGCGAAGGTTAAGAGAACCAAAACCAAAAGTCGAACGACTTTCCGCCGGGAAGAAAGCACTCGAAATGACATGGCTGGCTGATAGCGCTTAACGTTTGTGTCGAATGTTGACGTTTGTCCCGGGCTCGAGTCCGTATCTGACTGAAAAGATTGGCGGCGAGTAGCTCGCCGATTGTGGTTTACTACTGGGGGTGTCGGGTGCGAGACTCCGTTTGTACGTTTGTGGGAGGCCCGGTTGTATTGAAGGCACGGCGAAGTCAAGTATGTCATCTCAATGGAGTTGTTCTTGGTACTGTGGTCACAGGAAATGCGAGTGGAAAATTGTGGCTTGCCAAAATGTCGAACATCGTCACCCCGTCGAGATTCTACATTTGAAGAATAGCGAAACAGGGGATTGCCATAATCGCACAGGGAGAGCATTGGCTGGACTGCGTCACACATGCTGCTGTTGAAGACTGTTTGTCCTGTTGGCGCTCGACCAAAATCGTCATGGCCGTTGAAGTGGAAACGATCAGAAATATCTGTGTAGCTGACGCAACATCGGCCTTTTGAATTAATGGTATTCATTCGACAGAGCTCACATCCCATGTTTCCGCTACTGTCACAGTGGCTGCTTTCTCCAACACTGTTATGAGCAGCTCCGTCGCTGTAGCTGCTGGAGGAAGATGGGTTCCCAAGCAGTCGATGATCGCGTTCTAGAGGCATCATCCTTGTGGAGCTGGCTTTACTTATTGTGTCTAGATTCTGCTGGTTGAAGATTGCCCCTGAATGCCACAGCGTTAACGAGATGATGGCATACACGACGGACATGATGATCAAAGGAACGGCGTACCAGATGACGAAGTTGACAGTGAAGTAGACTCTCAGGTTGATGATATCGCTGCGGATGTTGCAGAACATAATATCTTCTCCCTTTTCTGAGGATACCACAAACGTATCGAAGATGACCAGCAGCGGGATGTTGTAGACTGCTGAAATGACCCATATGGTCACCTGCAATATAAGGGAGAATATTATATCAGTAGGATATGCGTTAGATGTTATAACATTTGCATCATGGGATAAAGATAACGAATTTAAACTGCCGACAGTCTTTGCTCAACACGCAGCCCAAAGAGAAATATTTAAAAAAAAACAAAAAATTCCTTTTCAGAATCTCCATCTGGAGTAACTTTACTTCCGGTATATAAATTCTCAACTTTCTATATTGCTTCATTAAGGATAATTTTATTTTCTGTTTTGAAATTATTTCTCATTACTTTAGTTTTACTGATGTTTATTTTGAGTCTCTCCTAAAGGGCTGTTGTTGAAAGTCTTTCAATCTTTTCCTGAGCGTCCACAAGACGGCTTGATATAAGGCTGATGTCATCTGCATAGTCCAAATCTTCTAAAACAGAGCTGAGTGACCACCTGATGCCTCTTTTTCTATCTCGTGTAACTTCTTTCATCAGCCAGTCAATGGCCAAATTGAACACAAAGGTGGATAGTATGTATCCCTGTCTGTCTCCCGTGTTGACAAAGAAACTTTGTGTTGTATAATTATCACAGGCAACCTTACATTGAAACTCAAAGTAATTGGCTTTGATCTAATTTACTATTATCTATGGTACACCATAGTGACGAAAAATCATCAATGCTATCAAAAGCTTTTCCAAATTCCACAAAGGTCGTATAAACTGCACTATTCCATTCGTTACTATGTTAAATTATTTGACACAACGTGAACACGGGATCAATTCATGATTTCCCCTTTCTGAATCTTGCCTTATTATACTATCATGCGCTTTAGTTATTCTTTTAAGGAGTATCCAGCTAGAGATGTTACACGTTACTGATAGTAATGTGACACCTCTCCAGTTGTTACAGTTTTCTAAATCTCCTTTCTTTGGTAATTTAATATAAGCACACTTGTTCCCACTCCTGTAGGATTTCTTTTTTGTTCCAGAATTCTTTAAAAAAAATCTTACACAATAGTTTTGGCGTTTCAATGTCCTCCACTTTCAGCATTTCTGGCCAGATTCCATCACACCCAAATGCTCTGTTAACCTTTTGAGCTTTAAACGCTTCCCTAACCTCTGCCTCTGAGAAAGGCTCTAGGCTTATCTATAGGTCTTCATGTATATCAGCAAGTACAGGTGGGTCTAGACAGTTTAGTAATTCCTGGAAGTGTTCATTTAACCTTATTAATTTTTTTTCTTTCTCGGTTGTCATCATTTTCCTACTTTTTGTCTGAGATCACTTACAAATGTATGCGATATAAGTAAACACAGACTAGGGTTGATTCATTGTGCCAGAAATAATGACTTTATCTTGATACAAATGACATTAAAAATTAGAGGCAACGTTGTGGTTATCTATGATTTTATATGAAATTGTATTTTTGATTATAAATTGTTCGGATGGAGACCTATTATATCATTTTAGTATAATAGCTCTCCATCCGAATGTGGAGAATCTCCTAAGTGGATCGGTTTTCGACATTTTGTGGAGTGATCAGCTGACAGAAGTTGTACATTAGGTAGCAGGAAGACATTTTATCCGCTTCAATAAAGTTTTCCTTTGACTACTATAATTAACCTCTAGACCTAATAGGAAATCAACTTTTTCTTATTATTTATTTTTCCCAAGTGGAAATGAATTGTTGTTTGTCCACTTCTTGACTGCGACCTTTTTGCGCATGGGATGTAGTATAAGCAGCATGTGTTACTTTATGGAATGAAATACTAGCGACATGTGTTACTTAATGGGACATAATGCTAGCGACATGTTTTACTTTGTGGGATGTAATACTAGCGACATGTTTTACTTTATGGGATGTAATACCAGCAACGTGTGTTACTTTATGGGCTCTAATACAAGCGATATGTGTTACCTAATGGGATATAATGCTAGCGGCATGTGTTACTTTATGGGATGTAATACTAGCGACATGTGTTACTTTACAAGCAATACGTGTTACTTTATGGGCTGTAACTATCGACGTGTGTTACTTTATGGGATGTAATGCTAGTGACACGTGTTCCTTTATTTTAGAAGTTTGACTTAAAGAAACCTAAGTTTAGTATATTTTAGGTGGAAGTCGTTGTGACAATACGCTCGGTGACTCCAGAATGTCTTTCCTCAACCTACTTTTATTTCTTTGTATTTTGAAAGTATACAGGAAAATAGGGATTTGGATACATCCTTAATCAAAGTAAGACGACCACATCACACCTTTAATTCTCCTGGACCGTTGGTCATATCAAACACTAAAACTTTTTCCCAGACGTTAAGTGTTAAGGTACAGAGATAAGACTGACCAAGCAGACTTACTGACTGGAGATTTGCACACCATTTGTTGGTGTCAGATAGTTATTCCCCCTGCCAGATCTTCAGGAACAGATAACAAGGGCTAATTGCCATTATCTCCCCCTGAGGTTACCTAAACTGGAGTGCCGGTCCGACGGTCACTATTGACACAGTGAGCGGAAAGTGTTGGCAGAAGAATTGACAAAGTCGGATTTTATTGTGATGACAGGTGAAGTAGGCCGGAGGTGTGACATGTCTTATTTGCTTTGGTCAGCTTAATTGAACCAGGAGATCCTAGCGTGGGAATTCAAACAATAGTTGTACAGCCCTGACTGACAGCGAATAAACTTACCCACAAGGGAGGAGCTGTGATATCCGTGAATGAGAATGATTTTAGGCGTAATGTAGGAGGAGCTTGATAAAAGTTATAAAGGTGTGAACTATAGGTCTGTTAAATGAGATCCTGTCGAGCACATGCCATCTGTTGGGCTTAACCTAAGCTTGAGACAGAACTTTTGGCATTGTGGTTTCATTTTTCCAGGTAAGATCGAAATTAGTTTCAAAACCTTTATTTTATTTATGATAGAGATCTAACTGTCTTTTTGCTCAAGTGTGTGTCTTTATCACTTTGTAATACTCCTAGGCGGACATTTCTTCATTCTCGTAGGGCACTGTCACATTGCTTTATATCCTAACTTATAGTGTCATGAATGTTTTTTCGTGCACGTGTGTTTCAATGTTGTAAAACCTAAATGTTGTTGTTTGCCATTGAAATTTAATGAACTATCATGTTTTTGAAATCACAAGCGTGAAGATAACTTTGGCAATCTTTTCACGTGTGGTTAATGTGAATCTGTATTACATACAGCTTACACACTGAAATGTGTTTAACTCTCGGGAGGCTAATGCGGAGATTGATCCCGGAGAGTAAATCCACGAGATTTGTTATTTAATTCGCCCCAGAACTATTGTTAGCATTCTGGGCGCGTCGATTGTTCCAAGCATAGATTCCAGAACTGGTTCTGTCTGACTGATTGTCATTTTGAGTCTGTACGAGAGATGGCACCTGACGTAGAAGACTTGACTATCATTACAGGACGTGTAGAGGAAGGCAGAAGATGTAACAGTTGGAATGTGAGACATAAGCCCTTCCAAATTGGACAGGAGTGAATGTGAGCATGAGGGAGAGATGAAATGTTTTATTTAAATAAACATGCTTGATGTTAGTATAATATACATGCTTAGTGTACATCTAGAGCAGATACTACAAATATGCGCTTGTTTCTTCATTCTCCAGTTCCCACATTGGGCAGGGACTAGTAGGCATCCATTATTTGCCGACCGTCGAGTGTAACGACCTGCAGAAAGCAGTGAGGACGACAAACTGGAAAAGATAGGCAGGGTCTCAAGCCGAGAACTGTCCTGACGGTGAATTCTCCTACTAGGAGTTAAGTATATGTACAAACTGTCATCATTCACATCATTCCAACTCTACTAGCCTAAACAAGTTCATTTTATTTTAGTCAGATTTATTAAATAAATCATGTGTGATGAGTTTCATGATAGTTGAGTAAATTGTGTACTTAGGTTCAAGTGTCTTTGTGCATATTAGTTTACTTCAGCTAACAAATATTTAAATCACTTGATGGGGGCTTTTTTTTTAATGCCAGGAGAGGAGACCAGTCGCAGGGGTTAAGTGAGCACCTGGATTATATCACAGTGGGTTTATCCAGATTTCTATCTATCCCTATTCCTTCTCCTGTGGATACAAGTACAGCAACTTTCATTTCATGGAACGAGCCACTCGCTGTTTTCTTGGCTATCCAGGACTGTCTAGGATCAACATAGCTTAGATAATAGTCCAGTTTCTCACGTGGGTGGGCATTGTTAAGGTTCAAACCCACACCCTCACTATATCAGTGTATTTACCCACGTGGGCGCGCGACAGTCGTGTCGCGGTGGCAAGGTTTGAGATTGAATGAATCAATTAAACTAGAACTGGCATCACTGGAATTGTTCTGTTTCTTTTCTCAATAGCCAACGAAAGAGTTTACATGCTATATGCTAATATTACTAGTTGCAACATGATTAACAGTCCGCCCATGTTTCCCCTCAGTGTTGAAAATCTCTCACCAAAACCTCTGCCCCTCCCCTCCTCCTTTTTTCACCTCCTACCCCGCTTAATGAGTCTTTCCAGGTATTGATTTTCTGTCTCTTCTGTTGAACTGTCCACCTGATTCCAGGAAACCTTCACTACGTTCCATTTGTCATAGAGTAGCTTACCACCCAGAGGGACGGTAGCAGTCAGTCTATACACCTGCTCATGACCTCGCACATCTGAACTTCTATGACAGAAAATACTTATGTTCCTGATCTAAGTCTTTTTTTTTTTAAGCTACGAGTACCACTCTACGCGTCCTACGTCAGTTTTTAATTTTCCGTAACGTGCTTTGTCAGTCTGTTACAATTACAAGCCATTAGAAAGCCTCTTTGACTGCCTCCACTTACAATCTAACATCTAACTAGATGTTGTAGTGTCCATTTTCCTTTGGCAATAAAAACCAATCGCATTTCCCACCTCTCACTGCAGATCCATAACTATAAATAATAACGTCAACACGGTGTGAATTTGCATTACTGGAATGTGAGGCTTCGGGTGCACGACGTTCGCCTTCGTGTAGCTTGTGGTTCGAAGTTTTATCTAG